CACTGAGCAGGGAGCCTGATGCGGGACTCGATCCTGGGACTCCAGGATCATGACCTGAGCCGAAGGCAGTCGCCCAACCAACTGAGCCACCCAGGCACCCTCCTCTCGTCCTTCATGAAATACTTTCAGGAGTCTAAGTTTCGTTTAATGCATTTTTGTTTTGTCTATAGCACATGACATTAAATCACTACTATGTGTGGGGAGCATTTTCACGTTTGTAAAACATCTTCCCATCTCTTATTTCATTTGGTACACTTGATAAGTCTGTGAGCATGGGAGGGCAGGGACCTGTGCCACTGTATGCCTTTTAAAGGCAAATAAGGAAATAGAACCTCAGAGGTTAAGTGGTCTTCCTAAGGTCATAGAGCTTAAAAGTGGTGACACTGGAGGTCTATCCAACATCAGTCACCTGGCTACAAATTTCGCGCCCTCTCTACCCTACTGTCCTTACCCTGTAAGCAAAGGGAAACTCTGATATCCTTCATCCTGACAATCCCTTCCGTTCTTCTTTGCAGAGGCATCCATCTTGAGCTACGACGGCAGCATGTACATGAAGATCATCATGCCCATGGTCATGCACACTGAGGCAGAGGATGTGTCCTTCCGCTTCATGTCCCAGCGAGCTTATGGACTGCTGGTGGCTACTACATCTAGGGACTCTGCGGACACCCTGCGCTTGGAGCTGGATGGGGGGCGTGTCAAGCTCATGGTTAACTTAGGTATCGTATGAAGTACCCTCTGTCACTTTGTTTGGGCTTGTCTTCCCTTTCTTTTCTGATTTTCATTGGTTTGATTGAATTCTTTGTTTGTTTCTTAAAAGTTAGCTGCTCACCTCTTGTTTAATAGACCAAGGATAAAACCCAACAGCAACAAACACCTTCTCCTTGTTTCTGCATGAGGTTTTGATGTCAGTTTCTGGTTTCTGACAGTGGTGGTTTTTTTTGTTTTTGTTTTTGTTTTTGTTTTTCCTAGATTATTTATTTTTTAAGTTTCCTTTCTTGGTTTTTTGGAACCGTTTAGCTTTGTGTAAAACACGCTACTTTGGTCCATCTTTTGATCAGTCACATTGCCATCAAGTCCAACTGCTTGGTCACCACTCAAAACAGTCAAACCTGAGGGCAGAGATAAGACAGCAAATGGAGGCAAAATGGGAGGCTGGGGTTGGAAAGAACTAAGCTTTGTGAGCAGGATGAGAACTGCATTGTTTATTTCCCCACAAATGGGGAATTCTGGTGGCACTGGTATTTCTTTGTACTTTCTCCTAGTGGGAGGAGTCAGATTGTTTCTGTTGTCCCATTGGAGAAATAATTTTGTAAGTTTATAGAGTCTCTGACACGTGGAAGGAGAATGTGGCCCCTGATATGTATCCCCTTCTTCCTTCCTGACATTCTTCCCCATCGTCTAGCAGCCCCTTTTATCAAGATTGTTGTTTCACACTGTTACTCACCAATTCCTCTGTCCTCCTCATGTAATACATATGAATTTTTCCTTAGTATTGAAAAATTACGACAGTTTCAAATTTACAGCTTTATTGGGAGAGGATCTGTTCTTCCACTGTAATTATCTGTAATAGATACTTTGTAAACTCCCCTCATGATGGCCTCACATTTGCTCCTGCTACTGACCTTCTTGACTGGATTCTAATTGATCTTCTGTGGAGGATGGGAACCTCTTGATTCCTGGAAGGAAAGAAACCAACCTCATTCCTACTCAGTAGAAAGTCAGTGCCCTCTGTCAACAGGATGAGTGGTATGGCTGAGTCCAAGCTTTCTAAGCCATGGATTTGTTTGGGTATATAGCATATGTTTGGATACAGAACTCCTTTACAAAGATTCCAGTGGAATGGCTTGTCAGAGGCATGGGGAAGACATGATGGACAAACATACCAGATACAAGACCATATAAAACCTTAGATGGCCTAGTGGGGAGGTGGAGTTTGGAATCCATACCAGTCTTACCTAATGTCAGGTTGACTGGTTGCACTTGGAAAATGCCTACACTACGATCCTAAAAATCTCTAGGACACAGAGGACTGTTTTGAGCAGTGGCTTTACTTATGTCTTTTTTTTTCTTCCAAATTGCAACTTTTACAACACTATGCCCTTGTTCTTGTCCAACCTCACTTGATTTCTGTTGTCAGTGTGTCTGTTGGTTTTTCTTTGGTTTGTGTATATGTGTGTTTGGTTATTTTGGGTTTTGTATTTCTTTTTGCTGGATCTCTGTGTTCTTGAGTTTTCAGTCCTCCCCACCATCAGCCATGATAAATCAAAAGATGGTATTCAACCCTTCAAAGGCCCAAAGCCTGCGGCCCGCATAGCAAACAGCCTTGAGAACAGAGCGTACTGAGCAGCCTGCAGGGGCTGGCATACCCCTGTCCCTCCCACCTTCCCTTCCCTACACCATCCTCCCCACCTCCAACAAACCAACAAAAGAGTGTATATGATCTAAAACAAACAACCAGTAGCTGATTGTTTACTTCCCTGAAAAATAGCAGAAGAAATAAAAAGAATTAAAAAAAAAACCCAAATAAACAAAAAAATGAACATAACATCCTAAATAGTTCACAGAAAAAGATGTAGACAATTTTTAACTCTGAATCTATTTCAAAGTAAGAGAGAAGCACATATATAAGGATGATTAGCACCATGGGATCCTGGGGAAATGTATACTGTCCCTAAACAGAAAATAGATTTTCCTTCTTAGATATTGTTTTATAAAATGAGAAAGCCAATTGTGGTAGGTCTCATATCTTAGAAGAAGATACAAGTGGGGAAAGATAAAAGGGGATGAGGAAGGAGATGGACAGATTCTCTTTTACACACATGCACGTGTACGAGCACACGCGGTTAGTAGAGTTCCCATGTGTATTCCTAGAAACATTATTTTTCTATTTTAAACTTTGCCCCAAATCTGGGAGAAGTGCCTCTCAAAAAGACTGCATTTGCGTCTTGATTCCTTCTAGCATACACTCAGTCTAGCTCCTCCGAAATTGAGATATCTTAGGTAAGATGGAGTTGGAGAGCACTGTACTTTTCAGAAGCAATCATGATTTCTTTTTTTCCCTGAAGAGTATGGTTCACCAGAATGACTGGTTTGAATTTATTTACCTTTCTTTCAAACCTAACATGGAAAACCGAACTGAAATTCCCTGTGCCTATGTATACAAAACTCTTTACATTCATGCTTTATTTAAAGGTTCTCTTTTCCTTTCCTCCCCAAAATATACCCCTTTGTGAATGTTTTCTCCTATTATGAGTTCATATTTCCCTTTACTTAGTTAAAGAAGAAAACATGTCTAAGCAGGGTTTGCATTCACACTCTCTGCAAGAACTAACTTCCAATGATCATTTTGTTCACCATTTCAGTTGTGTCTCCTTTCTAGACTATGCACAAATGATATTACAGTTTATTTAAAATTGGTTACGTATATAAGCTCATGATATAAAGCCTAGTATATATTTCTCTGATGTAATATATCCATCTCCTAAATGTCAAGGAGACTAGGCTTTCCTAAGGGCCTTGCTCTCTGAAGACAGCTGGGTGTGGTAAGAGCAGGCGTGAAAAGCGTCCTAAAACACACAACCTGTTTTTGAAAGTTGAGAGATTGGCTGTTGATCAATCATATTTTGATCCCTTACAATTAAAACATATAATATTTTGTTATTATAGTATATTTAAATATTCAAAAACCTTATTTCAGTCAGCCAGTAATTTTGTGAGATAAACCAAGGAAGTGTTTTTATGCTTACTTTTACAGATGTGAGACAAATAAAGAAATGTAGGACTTTTCAGAGCTAACATAAAAAGTCGATAGTGGAGCTGAGACTAGAACCCGGGTTTCTAAAATGCTGAGTCAGCGTGGGTTATCTGTTATCTCCACAGGTCAGTACTGTGTGGCTCAATGATGTGGCAGTCTTGATGACTTCTAACTGCTTTCATGATGGTTAACTTTTAAACATGCACAGAGGGAGTCTTTTTTCCCTAGTGCCTGGTTTGAATTGAGCCATACGGCTGAAAAGTCAGTCAGTATTGGTATCTCATTCATGGCCCTTCTGAATCCTCAGCAGAACACCAGCAAGCCTTCTTCAATGGTGGAGGCTCATAGGGAGTGTCATGCAGTTTGGTTAGTTGTATTCAAATTCTCCAGATGCGCTCTCTCTCTCTGGCAACATGGGCTTGCTGACAACTGTTTACAGTATGCATTGTTGAAAACATACAATTCCTAGAAACATTCACCTCTTCCATGCTCTCAACCCAAAGCTTATTAATCTAGAAAATAATAATTTCTCATTTACTAAAATAAAACAAAAAAACATCTAAATGAAACAGGATGAACAACACAGACATACACAGACACACATACACCCCTCAGATACCTTGCCAAGGGTAAGGCAGAGATTGAACTTTGGCTGCTATTCAAGATAGCTCTAAGGAAGTTGCTTTTCCAGCCCAATTCCCTGGATTCACTTTTCGTTAAAAAATACATCCTCACTATCAAGACTACCCTCTCAGAGCCTATGAGCAAGGCACTGGGATAGATTTTTTTTCTTGAACCACTTATTCTTCAGGTAAAATATCAAAATAATTCATCACTTCTTGGCTTAGCCAGTTGTCTACCACCTGGAAAGCTCCAAGTCCTCACATTGGTTTAGAGACACCATTCAGTTCATGGAACCATTTGAGTGAACCCAGCACCTCTCTCTAGACCAGGTCCTTGTCTAAGAATAAAATCCTCAGGGTGCCAGGGTGGCTCAGTCCATTAAGCATCTACCTTCGGCTCAGGTCATGATCCCAGGGTCCTGAGATCAAGCCCAGCATCGGGCTTCCTGCTCAGCGGGCAGCCTGCTTCTCCTTCTCCCTCTGCTCCTCCCCCACCCTTGTGCTCTCCCTCAAATAAATAAATAAATAAAATCTTTAAAAAATAAAAATAAAATCCTCAACAGCATAGAAATGAAGGAAGACAATGCCTTCTTGTTGACAGTTCTCAGGTTTGTTGCTTTAGGCCCACTCTTTCTCGTCCCTTCTCTCTTAAGCATGCCCATACAACTGTTTCCCCTCTCTCCTGAATACATCAGGAAGGGGCATTTCTCCAGCTTTGGCTGATGGCAGGTGCAACCCGTAGCTGAAGCCCCACCCCTTCCTCCCTACTTTGCCCTTCCCCTTCCCAGTCCTCACCAGGGGAATGGCCTCCTCTGTTTGGTGATCGTACCAGTTGCTCCAGGGCTGTTTGCTCCCACTTTTCTGTTGCGGTTGACGACACATGACAAACCTAACCGCACGAAACCAAACCCAGATTTTTCTCAAGAGATGTTCTTCTGGGGAACAAATAAGCATACCACCTCCTTCCTCAGAACGATTGGGTGTTCTAGATTTCTCCTATCTGGATTTCCATAGTTTCATTCTGCCCTGTCCTTTGCCACTCGTTCCTCTTTCACTTGCTTACTTAAAATGGTTTACTTTGGGAAATTCAAATGGTGGCATTATCCTTTAGGAGTCCTCCAAAACTACTGGGTTAGTCTTAGGCAGAGGAGTTCAGTTTCTAACTGTATTTTTTTCCTGTAACTTTTTTTCTTCTTCTTGTCTTACTTTTACTTTTTAGTATCCAGCTTTAAACAAATTCTTATGGGAATTCCCACCATGATAATTCAAATTTAGTTTCAACTGGGCAACTTTGTCACAACTAATCTGAGACCTTTTTTAACTGTTCTACCCAATCCCCTACAAATATAATCATTGACTCTAGACCTTTTGCGCTGGGTGTTCATGACTCTAAACAGATATTAATAAAAGGATAGATACTCAGAACTCTGGCATAGGATACCCTGTTGGGTTACCAGGACTGGAAGGTTAGCACCCTTTCTTCCCTCTCTTTCCCATTAAAAAATGTAAAAACAAAGAATTTTCTTCCCTCAAGATGCAGAATTACAGACTGAAATAGGTAGGAGGTCAAAGGTGCCCAAGACCTCCTCCCCATATACCTGTCTCGCCTTCTCCTTGAATGCTGTAGGCACTTGATTCAGTCTGAGCATTCAGGCAGGAAGGCGAAGATGGGCTTCATGAGTGGGTTGGTCTGGGAGCCTTTGAAACAGTAGCAGAGAACCCCATCAATTGTGATAATAGCATTCAATTCCTTTTACCCTACACCCAACCCCACCTCTCTAAAATCTGGGATGGGTGTTTGTGCGGTTAGCTGTTTGCAAGTGGCCATTTTATGACAGGAAATGACCAGGTGGTATTAACCCTTTCCTTATCTCTAGGGATAATGGCACGTCTGCCTATGTAAATTTCTATAGCATCTGGGGCCCTAGCAAAGAAGAGGGTGGAGGGAGTTTGTTTTTAGAAAAAGAGAAAGGGTTAAATACTGCACTGAGAAACTTCATGGACAGATTTTTTAAAAACATAAACAATGTGTCAGATTGGTAATATATCTTTGGAAAACTAATATAAAAATTGTGTTGATGCTATTTTTAAAGATAAATTTTAAGAAAATCATTATAGGGGGAACTAGAATATAATCTGCATTTGGTGGAGAAATTTTTACATAATTTTCCAAGTTGAACAAAATTAATATTTCAAAGTTCAGGTTTGAAATACTTTATATAAATGAGTAGGTTTTTGAAAAAAAAAAAAAAGGAGCAGCATACTCGGTGTCTATTGTGGATATATATGTATACCAGTATATATCTTTATACATATGTGTATATATATGTGTGTGTGTGTATATATATATGTATCCAACTTTACTAAATAATATACTGTACATATACACCCACCCTTAAACTTGTACATACTGTATATATATAAAATGGCCACATTTCTTGCGTGTGTCTGTCCCCGGAAGGGTGGACTGATTGTTTTTGGATGTCTGCAGCTGTTACCTTGAAGGATGCAATTTCATCTTTCATTTATTTTTCCCCATCTAGACTGTATCAGGATAAACTGTAACTCCAGTAAGTTTTCCCTCAAGTTTCATTTTGTTCTTAAAGAAAAGAAAAACTGACTTTATTTTGTTTACTGTTTATGAGCTGTTTTTTGTTTGAATTATTTTCTGTTCTGACTATGGAGTTGGGGGGAGCTGGGGTTGGCAAGATGAAGGGCTGGGGTGAGGGTAACGGGCTGAGTGTGGCCCAGGGCATGGTTTCTGAATTGGGGTGGGTCCTCTCTTCTTTCCTTGCATTTGCTCTTTATGCAGAAAAGGAGGAAAGGGCACCTGGATAAGGGAACAACTTGAAAATGAATTGAAATGGTAATTTATTGTTTTGGGGGAAATAATCCTCAGGGGTGGACCAAAAACATTAGAGCAACCAGAATGCACTTCTCCACTACTGAAAGCTTCAGAAAATAAAAGCAAAGTTCATGACCCAGAAGGTGGCTGCCAACTCTGACATTTCTTTCCCAGCATTTATCACTGTAGGGTTTTTTTTTTTTTCTCAAAGGGCGGGCAAAGCGTTGTTCTTGGTGATAATGCAACATTTTAACCCAAGTCTTGAGACATGTTCTGGTTCTTCTGAATGAAAAATTACAGCCTATTATATTTACTTTATCCCATTCAAATATTCTGGTTCTTGAAGAAGGGTGTTCATGAAGTGCAGGCTGAATAGCACTCACGTATTTCTTCCTCTGCCTCAGAAATGAACATTAACTGGAGTCATGAGGTCAGAGAACCGGAAGAGAAAGAGGAAGGATGGGCAGGAGGGAAAGAATAGGTCTAGTTGACAAAAGGAAGAAAGGAAGAAATCTACTTTGAGTCTTAAAGCATCTTATATCAGTTAAGATAATTAAATAACTAACTAGGGTAATTAGGGCAATTAGCTATAACAAACAATGCCAACATTTCAATGGCTCGACAGAAGACAGGTTTATTTCTCCTTCAGGCAAAATTCAGTGCCAATGCCAGCTCTCTTCAAGGAAGTAATTCAGGCATCCAGGTCTCTTTCATGGCCTGGGTTCACCATCTTGGAGTTCTAACTTCCAGCCATATCATAGGGAAGAGGGAAAGAGCTTGGATATAATGCAGTGTGTTTTTATTGCCTTGCCTGGAGTGATGGACATCACTTCTGCCCGTATTTTCTCAGACATGACTCCATCCAAAACCCAAAGGAAGCTGGGGATATGTTCCTCCTGTGGATCTGGGAAGATGAAATTAGACTGATTGAGCACCTAACACACATGATTCTCAGTATGACCCCTTCATTTTTTACTTCTTTCCTCATTAGGGCCTTTCAGTAGGAACAAATTCAGAAAAGGAAATAATCCAACTTTTATGTTTCATTTGCTGCTTTATTCAATCATATTTTATAGGTGCTACTGGTTTAACCTTCTTTCTTGGGAGATTGATTATCAGAATGACAAACTAATAAAGCCCAAAACACTTTTTGGGGGGGGCCAAATGTTCCATGTAAATTAACAAAGGAAAAGAAATGTAAAAAATTGATATAAACAAGCACTTCCTAAAGTAGAGTGCTTTATGCTTGTCTTGGAGTCATTTTCAGTTAATTTAAGCAATGTCCTATTTTGCTGTGTTTAAACATTTCTAATTAGCCAGAAATTTCTCATGATATTTAGATCATTAAAAGGCTAATTGAAACATCCTTTTTTTTTCCTAAAGACTGGCATTTTCTCTTTCTTCAAGCAGCTTTATTGAGATATAATTTCTATACCACAAGATTCATCCACTGTAAGCCTACAATTCAGTGATTTTTATTTAATGTATAGAGTTGTCCAAACACCACCACAATCACATTTTAGAACTTTTCCATCACCCCCACCCCCCAAATTTTCCTCATGTGCATTTGCAGTTAATCCCTGCTCTTACCCTTAGCCCTATACAACTGTCAGTTTGCTTTTATCTCTATAAATCTTCCTTTTTCTGGACTTTTCATATAAATGGAATCATATAATATGTAGTCATTTGTGTTTGGCTTCTTAAAAAAATTATAGTTCATTTATGGAAAGCATGAAGGTGGAAAATTTTCATTCTAAGTTGAACTTAGCATCTTCTGGCTTAGATACTTATTTGCAGAATAGAGAACTGAAGGAGTTATTTGATCGGGATATCTGGACTTGCTTTCTGTGCTCTATCCACACTTTATCTTGCAATTAATTTCACATATATTATCTGATCAGCCATGAAAAGTCATCTTTAGACACATTCCAGAATTCTTTATTCTAGGAAGGCAATGCCTCTTTTTTTTTTTTTTTTTTTAAAGATTTTATTTATTTGTCAGAGAGAGAGTGAGCACAAGTAGGGGGAACGGCAGGCAGAGGGAGAAGCAGGCTCCCCACTGAGCAGGGAGCCCGATTCAGGGCTTGGTCCCAGGACCCCGGGATCATGACCTGAGCCGAAGGGAGACATTTAACCGACTGACCACCCAGGCATCCCATGGCAATGCCTCTTTTCCAGGACATAGATGCCAGCAGGTTTTCTAAATGTGATAAAAGATTTTCTATTCAGAGCCCCCAAAACCATCATTGAGAAGAAATATGTCAGCAAATATGTGTTCCCTACTTTGATCACAGTATAGAAAGAGTATAACTAGTTTTAGTTCGATATTTAGGTAAAGAGCCAAGATTGGATTTTGGAAATCAATTTTGAATTCTTAAGATAAACCTTTAACATACTGAGGAAGTTAATTTTGGGGAGAACATCAGAGGAAGAATACATAGTGCCCACTAAATGAACAGTGGTTGAATAGAAACCAAAGAAAACAAAACAAAGCAGGAGTCCTTTAATCTAATACCTTGAGTGCTGAGGTATATAAATGTGCACCCAGGGGAATGAAGAGTCACAAAGTGAAAGTGACATATTTTCTTGAAGTCAATTTTAATTGTTGATTTGGAGTAAAAACTTGAATTGAGACCAAAGTGATATGTTATGCCGAAGAATGCAAATAAGTGTGAATCTTATTTAGTTTATGAATCTTAGGTTTTAAGAAAAACTAAGAATTCAAAGACATAATTTTTATCATGTATCTTCTTTTTTCCATCCCTGGCATTATTGGCACTTGGGTGGAAAAGTTCGAGAAGGCTAGGCAACTAAAACAGGTCCAGGTAATCAGAACTTCTCAAACCTCTCTCCTTGTGGACTAGATGTCAAAGTTCATAGTTCAGTCTGTTCTGGGATCTAAAGCTGTTTTGGTAATAGGTGGGCAGATCCTTCCTTTTACCCAGTTTTTGTGATGAGATTGATTTGTAGCCTGAGTTTCAGAGGGAGGGATTTTCCTGTTATGTCTCAGGTGTCATTTCAATATAAGTCAGAGGGTGTTATTACTCACGTTTCAGAACACAGCTGCTTTTTTCCCTTGAAGGGACATACTGAATTAAGCTTTAACCACGTTTGAATTTAAGTTCATGCACTTTTCCAGTAATCCTTTTTTAGAATGTCTGTCCTCTGGAAAGTCAGGTAAAATACAGAATGACATCATCTATGTTTTTCCTCTTCATCTGCTGCAAAATGTTTGGGTAAATGGCTGTTTCCAAGGGTTTGTGTGACACTCTTTAGAGAAAAGAGCATGAAAAAGAAGGATGATCTAGTGTAAGGAGAAGACAACTGGCCATAATAGAGGATAGTGATCTTGAATGAAAGTCTCTTTCTTTTGGCCCTTGTTATCTGGTCCTTCTGTCAATGACTTTGGCCCAGCTCTGTGCTGAGTGTTTCCAAGAAGAGGAAACAGGTTTTTTGTTTGTTTTTTAATCAGCTTCTCTTGCCTTCCTTCCTCTTTCTCTTTTCCAATGCTTTGTCGTTCCCCATAAGATCTATGATGTACTTATCATTACTCATTCTAAATCTTGCTATCCCTGCTTTCCAAATTGTCCAAGAATACCACACATAAATTCTTCTCTGGCTTCTATCTCCAGACATATATTAGAGAGTATACAAATCGAGGCCTTTGGTTGAAATTGGGACATTGCTGGATTTGATTGAATTGGCAGGAATATTCAAAAATATAAAATCAGGAAATTTCCAGCTTAGAACTTGGTTTTAAATTGCAAAAGATCAACAGAGTTGGCAGTCATCATGGTGATTGAACTACAGGGTGGCCTGGAGCACTGCTAAAGAAAACAGGGCTACTTTCTGGGGAATTTTGGAGAAAATCACCTGTTCCTACAGTTCCAGTTCCATGAGGCTGGCAGTACCCTAAGAAGTGTGCGGTTCTGAAAACAGGTATGGACTTCTTATTGGTCTCATGGATGTTTGCTCAAATCAAAGTATGGGAAAAGGTTTGTTGTTTTTCACCTTGTCTGATTTTGACTCTGCCCTTTGATTTCCTAGCCCCTACTTTATTCTCTCCCTTTCAAGCTATGTGTAGCACAGCTTGAATGAATATAGTATAGTCATATTAATGACAGATGAAGACAACATGAATGACTATAATGAACATATAAGAATAACTATCAATTCCATCCTTTTGTTTTTTAGCCTTTCCCTTCTCTGAAAGGCTGATTCCTCTGTGTATGGTCATTTTCTCAGTCTTTCTAAAAAGAGGTGTATATATCATATGGAAATTGTGAGTTTGTGTACATGCCTGATTATTTAGGGAGATGTAGGAACCCCCCCCCAATTACGTTGACCTTGAAGTCTTTATTTATCTGTAACAAGGTTCAGTGTTTTCCTCTTAGATATAAAGGAGAAAAGAAATAGAGTGCCATACAAAAATATACTTACCTTAAAACACTCAGTGTCATCCTGTAGTCACTTGTGTGAGAGAACAACTTTGATAATCCTGTCCCCTTCCACAGACTCTGTTATCTTTGAATCATCATAGAAGTGTACAATTATATAAGAGCTATATGAAAATAACATCATAAGGATATGATACCTCCAAGTCATACCTCTAAAGGCTACTAGTATTTACTAAATATCCCTTCTCTCGCACCGGTTTGCCTAGCAGTTGTTTTTTTGCCTTTTGCATTAGCTTCTGTGCCTTAGGCTTTTTTTAAGCAGACTCAA